GAGCGAGAAGTTTGCCCTCAAGAGCCCGCCGAGTAAAACCAGCGACTTCTACATGGGCGCGGGAGGCGCGTTGGAGCACGTTATGGAGACGCTGGACAATGAGTCCTTTTACAGCAAAGCCTCGGCCGGCAAATGCGGCCCGGCCTTCGGGCCGCTGCCCCGCGCCGAGCATCACGTGCGCCTGGAGAGGACCTCGCCCTGTCAAGACGGCGGCGGTGAGTCGGCAGCACCGCCACCCGCCCTCCCGCCCGCTCGCCCGCAGGGGTGGGGGTGCAGAGGGAAGGCGGGGATGGCGGGTTCCCGGGGCGCTTGCGGCCGCGGGGTGCCCAGGCGCCCGGTGGTCTCCGCACGCTTCTCGGAGCAACGGCTCGTTCCCAGCCTTCTAGGGGTGTCCGGGTAGCTGAGACCCAGCGCCCCTCGGTTCCTGGAGCCCGGCGTCGACGGACCGGGGTCGAACCGGGGCGTAATTGGGTCAAGACGGCGCGCTTCCTCTGCGAGCCTCGCCGCCGGCGCGGGCGGCGCTGGAATCCGTCCCAGCTCCTTAGCGAAGCCAGAGACTTAGAGCTTCTTGGGTGGAATACGTTTTTGGTTTTGTTTGTTTGTTTCTTTTTTTTAATTGTCCCGATTAATCCTTTTCTTTCTTAAATTGGAGGGCTGCTAGATTAGTTTGGGGTTTGGGGGGCTTTTTGTTGCTCCTCTGAGTTGGCAGTACACCTCCATGTACATTTTTGTTAAGTGCCAAAGCCCTTTAAAATGCTTCCGGCAAAAAAAAATTCCCCTCCCCACCCCCTCCACTGCCGGGTTCAGCATTGTCTATTTTTCTGACTCCACTTTAAAAGTCACCATAGTTCAGAATGCTTCTGGGTGAAATCTTCAACTTTGAATGCCCAAGTATCTCAAAGCCAAAATGTTATCAAAACAAACCATCTATCTTTTCTATCTTGTAACCCAATACAAACCTATTATTTCAGATCGGGACAGCTAAAGCAAGTTTACAATTCCAAGAGGACTTTTTCTTATCATTGTATATATTCCACAGTTAATCTGTAAGGAGCCGGTTACTTTAAAATAACAAACGAATTAAGTGTGAGATATTTACAACAAGCGCCCTGCGCCCTGTTTTAATGAAGTTTCCCAATCTGACAGGGTACTGGCTCATGGTTCATTTCCTAAACATTTTTGTTCGAAAAATGGCAAAATTTAAAACGATCCTTTTTTATGTTGCAAATGCATTTCCACTTTCAAGGGCAAATATAAAAGGTTCAGACAAGCTTACAGAAAGCAATCTGCGAAATCCTTTCAACAATTTCTTTGGAATAACGAGCGATTATATATTTTTATTCAATACACTGAATTTTTAGTTTGCTGACTGTATTGGAGGCTTTAAACTTTTATATATACGCCTAAACTTCATTCATCTGACAGGGCTTTAAAAAAAATGGCCCTATAATGTCCTGTGATGATTGCCGGTTTGAACTCAAACACCGTGTTTTAAGTTGTCCGGAAATCTAATGGAAGAAGAAAAAATAGTTGATTCAATACGATTAAATTTTTTCTCAATCTTTAATTCAATATTACATTATTAAGATGAGTTTTAATTGGGACTTATTAAGGAAGGGGAGCATGGGCAGGCTACTGCTGAATTTAAGATCCCTTCTTTCAACAGAGATGCACTTAGACTCACTGCTTCCTCCCCTCCCCTTTCTAGGGCTAATTGCCGCAGTTCCCCCTTTAACTCTGCCCACGGAGACAAAAACGTATTTTAATCAGTCATGCCTCTTTTTTATGTTTAGTTTTACAGAACATTTTTCTCTGCATGAAAACTATTGGCTTGCATGTTTTAATGTAAGGGATTTCGGAATTTAAGCTATATTGGCATTAAACTTTCAGTTTCATGATTAACACCGTTATGAAAAATACATTATTGGGGATCATTTAAAAACAAAAATAAACGAAAAAACCCAAAACATGACAGTTCATTGGAAACTCTGGTCCTATCAGTTTGACTGCGTTTATTTTTTTAAAAAAAATGCTTCCAAACTAATTTTATGCATCCATTTTATTTCTGTGTGTGTGTTGGAGGAAAGGATTTACAGGACGCATTTTTGTTTTCTCTCATACTGTGAGCATGCAATCAAATAGGAAGGGAATCGGAATCGCTGAAATTAAAACACACTGGACGGAATGCCAGATGCCATCCATTGTTATGTCTTAATACATGTTTGAATATCTGTTTCACTTGAAGGACAAATAAAGCTTTCTGTCCTCAAAACATGTTTTAAGAGTTAGGCAGAAATCTGACATATTTAGGAAGCTGTGCAAGATGGATTTTTCAGCTAAAAAAATCTACTTAAACGTTAGCCTTTTTACAGCAAGCACTTCTAGAAACTGACTATTTAATTCACTTAAATATTTAGATTGGGTCACTTTTGAAAATAATTTTATAACGTGGACCCAAATATACAAAGGTAATATTTAAAACATGGCGGAAAGGTACCACATCACTAATCTTCACGGAGGGGGCAGGTTATTTTTCAGATTTTGGAATTTGTTTGACAGATATTATTTGAAATTGAGCCCTTTCCCGGTTATTTTTGTCTGCTGTGAATAAATGCCATTAAGTTTGGGTCACGTGCCTTTTTTTTCCTTTTCACTAAGGCTAGAGCACCTTTCAATTTGACTCCATTATTTTTATTATAAATTATGTGCATAAACATCACATTAACCCTGGAAAATAAGATGGTGAATTTTGTGAGTTCCATGTAAACATTTGTAATGGTTTTTAAACCTGTCCCACAGTGAGATGATAATAATACCTAATGTGATAATGAATTAATACTGGCACAGTCAGTCATTAACAGACTGATTTCCTGGTGAACGAAATCACTACAACTTTATTTCTTCATGGAGATGTTGCACAATCCTGAGAGCTGTTCTTTTCCCCATCTGGGTACAGTTAACTATGGCATCACGAAAGTTGAAGGACAGCCTCTTCACACGGAACTGAATAGAGCCATGGATAACTGTAACAGTCTCCGGCTGTCTCCTGTGAAAGGGATGCCAGACAAGGGAGAACTAGATGATCTTGGAGATAAATGTGACAGCAATGTATCCAGCAGTAAGAAGCGGAGACATCGAACCACCTTTACCAGCTTGCAGCTGGAGGAACTGGAGAAGGTTTTTCAGAAAACCCATTACCCAGATGTGTATGTCCGAGAACAGCTTGCTCTGAGGACCGAGCTCACTGAGGCCAGAGTCCAGGTAAGAGAGATAAGTGGAGGTCTTGGGGACGGTATGATGAAAAAATTCCAATTTGCCATACAGGAAGAAACTGACTCTAGGGTTAAGGATCATAACAGTATAATGTATGCATGTAGTTATAATAAAGTTTCTTTATGCTTGCAAAGGATTTGACTACTCACACAAAAGTATAAAACAAAAGGACATGTAAGTAAGTAATTCCAAAAGGATACAAATTGATAATTAGTTAAAGAGAGCAGGATATGATGACATGTCCCTGATTTCTGAAAATTAGCTTTTAGAGTGAAAATCTGAGTCATAGTTATCCATTTAGTAATTGATATGTATTATTTTGTTTTATCTGAAATTTATCACATAATAGGCTATAAATTTATAACTTCAATTGGTTTAGGGTTTTAATAAAGCAAAGGAAAAAAATGAAACAATCTCACAAACTCCTAATTGTTATGTTTATCATAATTTATTTTTTTTATTCATACATGTGGAATAATAAGAGAAAACGTATTTAAAGTTTTCTAGTCATAGTAGTTAGTTTCCAATATGTGCTAATTCATTGTAATTTTGAAATCCAGATTCATTATAAGGGTTTTGCAGAGGCAATAGGAATGATGATCCCAAACTAATTTTACTATAAATAATCCAAAATTTTAAGTAAAATGTACTCAAATCATCAAAACCAAAGACTTAAGTTTTTGAAATTCTTTAATGATTTAAACGAGAAAAAGAGGAAGGGGTAAAATTGTACCTTTTAAGAGTATTTTATTTTTTACTAGACTTGTTACTCCTTAGCTATGTTTTCTAAGTTCTGAGTTATAAGTTAGAGTTTAAAATGCAACAGTACCTCAAGAGAATGGACTTTTTTTGTGTGGTTTTTAGATTTTTAATATTGACTTTTGCAATTCCCATAAACCACTTCAATGGAGAAGTGAAAAAGTAGTGAAAATGTTGTTCTGCATCTTCCTTCTTAAGATTAAGCCCTGGGAAGGCCCTTACATCCTTAAAGACAACATCTGGCAGTGCCAGGGTAACGAGCAGCAGATTTTTGCTTCAGTCTGTGGAGGCAAATAGTTACTTTATCTTAGTTCAGGAAGTAAATATATAGCAAGTTGATGCTCACAAAGATTTTAAGAATTGTCACATATTAACAGGAGTCCTTCATGTGTGTTTTTGGTCTTGTGTCCATAGATTTACATTAGTTATACTTGTAACCATAGAAAAATATGTTTATGCACCAAGTGATCAGTTATGCACATTGCTTATATTCCCCTGTAACATTTCATCAAGTCCTGATTAATTTTTGTTTAGGACATGCGCAGAGAACCAGCCTGAAACTAATTTACTTGGGTTGTTCTCTTTCCTGCGCTTACGTAAGTGTGATAATTGGCACCTCTTTTGAGGAGATTGTCATGGTCTTTCTGTCAATGAAAAACACCTCTTACTAAATTCCATTAATGTGTCCACTACAAATTTTGCGTTGTTGTCCTGATACACATTTAGCAGAGTGCTAAGAAAATAAGCCATGTTTTGATGTCTGAAAATTCTTCAAAGTACCATCTTAAATTTGCAGTATGTCCTCAGGGGACATGCTCTGAGCATCTCATGGCAGGTGGCCCTACTGTGAAGATGAAGAGATAGAAGATTAGAATTGGAAAGGGAAAAGAGTGAGCATTTCAAATATATTTTAACGAAAGACTTCCCACCTTGCATTGTATGCTTGACTTCCTGCTTCTTTCCCAAACATGTTATATTCTGGACGTAATTCCATGAAGAAGATTAAGGAGCTTCCTCAAACCTGCTTTGACATAATGTCCACTCAGAAAAAGTATTCAATTATGTAGAGTGAATATAATATTATTTATCATCACTTAACACATTACAAAATATTGAAATGAAATTTGGAGAATCTTAAGTGTGAATTAAGGGATATTTAAAACTCAGAAAAAGACCGTGTCATGATGAAATTTCTGGTATGCCATTAGAAAGAATTTAAGAGACAATGTAATTACACAATTGAGACCACACTAACACATGGGCTTTCTGATATTTAGCTCTTTTAGTCCCACATTTATATTAGCTGTAAAAGTTTTAAGTTACAAAAATAATTGTGAAGACATCTGGGCACTTTTTCATAAAGGAAAATAAGTGTTATAAGTCATGTAAGTTGCATATCAAGCAACTTTGAATACTTCCAAATCAGATGATTCCATTTCACCTGTCATTTTAATTGTTTTCTATTCCTATAATTATTTTCCTCCTCCTCCCATGTTTCTTGTATAACCTTTATGATAAATATCTTAGAAGATGGTCTAAGTATTGGAACAACCTGGCAGGTTCTTCTGCTTGTGATGTTTGTTAAAGGTGAACACGCACATAGACATTCATGCCCATGCATGGTATCGAGGACTCAAAAAGTTTGTGCAAAGATTCCATTTTATCTGACCCAGATGTTAATTTAATTATATCACTCAGTCCAAACTTCAAGTTCTAAATGTGTCCAGACTCTCAGCATTCTCACAGAGGAGGGCTATCAATAAGATTTGTTTTGAGATACAGAGTCTGCAACATCATATAATCTAATTTATTTTCCTTTTCGTTAAGTGAAAAATGTTAAGCGTTGCCATATTGAATAAATATCCAGAATGTCTCCTTTCTATTTCCCTTAAGTTATGTCTCCTAGTGGGCACATCATTTCTCCTATCAGGATATGAAAAGAAGTAACAATCGTAATGCCTTTCTTGACATAAATTCCCTTTTTTGTGGTTGACCTGGCTTACCTTTCTGGTTTTAACTTTTTTAGTGTTACATTTGCCTTCTCATCGATCCATTACTTAAAAATCTACATTTTTTTTAAATTAAGGTTTGGTTTCAAAATCGAAGGGCTAAGTGGAGAAAAAGAGAACGTTATGGCCAAATACAACAAGCCAAGAGCCATTTTGCTGCCACCTATGATATATCAGTTTTGCCAAGGACAGACAGCTACCCACAGGTATGTTAAAGTACCAATACTACTGATAAGAGAAATAGATGGGGTTTGTATATCCTTAACTAGTTAGCATAGGATTTACTTTATCTGATATTAGAAGTCAGAATGAAAAATGTAAGCACTACAGAAGTTTGTTAATATTGAATAGATTTTAATTATACTAAATTGCTTTATTATTTTCTTTCATTCCCATATACTTAAAAAATGTTTCAGGGTATCTTCCCTTTAATACATGTTATAAAAGTGTATCATTAAGTAGATTTTTCTCTTAAATATGCAATATTTTAATTATTTGTGCTCCCTGCCTTTGATAGCTTTTGAAGATAAAGCTTTGTTTGGCATAGTATACAAAAGGATTTCAAAATTTGAAGCAAAACTGCTTGATGTGATTGAACTATAGAATTTTATGCTATCTGTAAGAGCTCCCAATAAAATCATTGAAAAAGAAAAAGATGGTGGAATTTTCCGACAAACTTTTTAAAGCCTCCCGTTTCCTTGCCTGTTGTTTTAAGAACCACAACCATAATTTAGTGTCAAAATGGCTTATGAAACTTTATTAGGCACAAAAAATAACTTTTTGGTCATTTTAGATTTGAAATGTTTCATTTTAAATATCATTCAGATTCTATATATTTTAAATTATTTTTAAGAAATACTTTAAAAAATAATAGAAGCTCTCAGCACATTTCTAATTTTTTGAGTGCTCTTTGTAGAAAGTATTGTGATGTATGTGATTAAAATGGTCATTTTTTTATAATTGGGTATGTTTTCTCATGCCGAATAATAATAATAATCCAAACCGTGTATGTTGCATGAAAAAGGAACGTTTGTAAAACAGGGTTGAATAGAAATGCCAGTTGCAGTTGAGTCGATGCTGGCTCCTGGCAAATCCGTATCTATGAGAAGAGAACTGTGCCCCACCATGATGCTTCGGAAAAGGTCAGGCTTCCAAAGTACCTCTGGGTGAACTTGAACTACCAACCAGGCCATCTATTATTTATTTTATTATTTCATTTCTTATTGCTTCATGAGCCAGAATTGACGTGGTGGCGGTGAGCTAGAGAAAACTTTAAAAATATAAATGAACCATGTGCCGAAAACAGAGCTCTGTGCGTGATGGCTCCTACCACACAGATTAGTGTACTCACTGTAGCTCCAGCCCTTAAGAGTGTTCATGTCTGTCAACTGTAAATGAATATTCTAGAATATGAACTAGTCTTGTGATTTTATGCTAGCCTGTGTATTCTTTTGCCTTTGTCATCCTTGAGATCTGTCTTGGTAATTTCACTCTTCCAGATAAATTCACAAAATTCATTATGTGTAATAATACAGAACCATGATATATCTGATAGGTTAAACGTCATAGGGATCACTTTGTCCAGTTCTTTCATTTAAAAAGTGAGGCAACTAGGCCCAGTTGAGTTAGAGAATCTGGCCAAGATCACACAAGTCTATAGAAGGTGGCTGCTGCTGAGCCTTTCCATGGACGTTTACTGGAAAACCAAAACTTTATGTGCTCCTCGAATGAATCCTTATATCTGCTATAAAAGACTCTTATTTCTTGTCATAAGGTTAATGAACTTAATTGACTGGATGTTTGTGATTGTCCTGGTTCACTTCTAAACAAAATGCTCTGGGAATGTTGCCTCGGATGGCTGTCAACTCCAGGAAGGCAGCGACCTCTGCCTACTGCTGGGGGGGCGTGCACCTAGGACAAGTGCAGTACTGTTCTCCCGTCTCAAGCTTCCCAACCTTGTTCTGAGCAGCTGACACGTATGAATTCATGTAAGCCTCACAGCTACCATGCGTCATACGTGTTAGTGTCTATCCCCGTTTCTCAAATGAGGACATTGAGGCATGGAGAGGTGAGCCATTTATTTGATTCTACGAGTAGTAAAGTTCAGATTTCACCATTGGCTACCTGACGCCCACATATAGGATCTTTACCCTCAGTCTCTCCTACTGAAGATTTTTAAATTATAATTTACTACCAATAAGCATTACTTGAGTTTCACTATTAGAGCTTGTGCATAGTTCAAGAAACTGGAAACAGTCACAACCAGTAAAATAACAGTAGAGAAATACAATGATAATTGCATATGATTTACGTAATTTAAAGCAACTTGACCATTGTGACTAGAAATCATACAATTATGAATTGTGAGCTCTTTTTAAGTTGATTTTAAACAATATTGCCATAAATATTCCTAAAATAATTTTACATCTTTTCCCCCATCATTTTCTTTCAGTCTTTTATTACTTTCTTTTTAAACCGTCTTTCTGTTTTCCACTTCTCTGTTCCTTGCTGCTATCTGCCTGACTCCCTTTTCTTACTCACTATCACATAAAGCATTTCCATAGTGCCCACTGACTCCGTTTTCTTACTCACTATCACATAAAGCATTTCCATAGTGCCCACTGACTCCGTTTTCTTACTCACTATCACATAAAGCGTTTCCATAGTGCCCATGAAGCTCTGTGTAAGGAATCAATGTGTCTTAATAGACTCTGACTACATATCCCTCTTCTTCCCCGAGGGTTATTTTGCCATTGTATTATTAAGCCTCAGAGCTTTAGATATTTTTGATTAGCAGAAAGTGACTCTTAATTGTACAGGCAAGAAAGGAAATGTATAGCATTTTGCACTTTCACAAAAAAAGATGAAAATGTTTTCTCACAATGGGAATTTTGTACTATTTCTATTACCTGTGATATTCTCATCATTTGTGCATTGGTTATACCACCTCATAATTTAAGGAGGACAGCATGGAAAACATGTTGAAGTTGGTTTTGACAGTGCATTGTATTAACAAACACTAAAAACAATACTCTAAAATCCGTAACATTTCTCTACTAGTAAGTATTTTAATAATTGGATGTTAAAGATTCTGAAATCAAGGGTCTATTCCCACTAAAACTGTTGAATAAACCTAGGGGAAAATTCCATATTTAACTGTTAAAAATTATGATTGGCTTGAATTTTTTTCTGTTTGCTTGAGGAAAAAAATCACACCAAGATCGTGTCTTCAAGTTCCAGCCTAAAGAAAATTTATGTTAGCATGGGTCTCGACAAAAGATATTTGTAAGGGTAAAATAGGAACTGAAATAGATCTCAACAACGCTACACAACAGGACATTGAATTTAATTATTGTTACTAAAATTTTAGGAAAAAAACAAACAAACTATGAACTGGTTGGAATGTAAAAAATGTTGCAAGCTGGACAGAAATAAAGCATTAGCAATTTGTCAGGAAAGCAAAAAGCACACATGGATGTACATAAAAAGTAGAGATGATTTTGAAAATTATCCCCATCGAGCCTGCTAGGTGTAGATAATAACCTTTCCTGGAATAAGCATATATATAAATATTACCTGTTTGTGCACAAATAGTAATATTTTTAAAGTGCATTTAAAATCATTGTTACAACTGGTCTTCATTAACCTATAGTAACTACTGTTATAACAGAAATTATAGCTAACATTTGAGAAATTATTTCAAGATAGACAATGTGTTTCCTGCTTATAGCTTTTTAATTCTTTAAGTGGAGCTAAGTTTTCTGAGTTTAGAAGTCTAGCGCTCTTTATGTACCATTTTTACCGATTCCATTACCGAGCAATGAAACAGTTCAATTTTGACTCTAAGACGTCATATCACTTTGTAAAGTAAAAATACTTCCTTGCTTTGCATTTAGAAACATTTAAAAATTCCTTTAAAAAGATAACAGAGCATTTAAAAAGTCTTTACTTAACCTGGCTCATATTCTATACACACAAACAAGGAAATGAGGTGTGTTCTGGTAATATGAATGGCCCCTTGTGAAGATTTTTATGTCAATAGTTATCTGTTTTAAGAGAGTATATTTCGAAGCATTGAAATGTGGCATCTTCTTTTTAAAGTCTTATGTTTTGCTCACAGTATCCGTTGTCATTTGGCAACACTATAGCTAAATGAAGCAATGTGATATTTTTAAAAACAATTTCACTACTTGTGCTAAGTTGGTTCTCTCTGGAATCCCCATCCCTTCTCCTAAGCCTTATTTCCTCCAGGAGCTCTCCCCTGAATCCGTCAATCAGTGCAACACTTTCTTGCTTACATGGAAATGGGTTGCAGAAAATTTCTGCCTCGCCATTCAGGTTGTGAAATATTTTAAAAAGATGACGTAGTTCCAACTCATCTTTGTATTACCACCGTTTTAAACAAGTTACATCACTAAATAGATGTGACTAAAGGAACTGCTGCACATGAGTATGTATTCAGGAATACAATATAAAACAAAAATTCACCCATCCTCACCAAACAACTGGTTTCTGAATCTCTGCTGTTAGATAGCTCTGTGGGCCTGGGCAATTTACGTTTCCTCTTTGGATCTTAATTCCTCCTATTTTTAAAAGGAGCAGACTAGAAAGATCCCATTCAGCTTTTTAAAAAATTATTCCAAAGTTATTTGCATTTTACCCAACCAGTATTTGTCAAGAACTGTCTTAAGCTATGAGGATACATGAATAATCCAGCCAGATAAAATTCCCTGCTTTGTGATTATAAACATGATTGTGATTATTGACATTATCACATCAGCTGCAGTCCAGCTGATCCTGATACTTGTACTAAATTCAACAAGCATTTCTTGATGCAAACTAGACCCACCAAACTAAAGGTGCATGCATAATTTTCTCCTCAGAACCTAATCAGCAAGCAAGGATCTATCGACGTTACAAACGAATGTGTTTCCAATGTAGTGAAACCCAAGCATCTTAAAAATAATTATTTTGGTGAATAAGATATTTTATCTTAAGGTGTTAACATCTTCTTGGTGATTTTAGACAGCCTACATTCTTAAAAGAAAGAGTGTCTTACAGCTACTAGATTTGACTCGAGGAGCCAAGGCACAGGGCCCAAACTCTTGGCGATGACCGGAAAGTTCAGTGGGTCCAAGCCACCAGCTGTTCTGAGAGGAAGTCCTTTGCTTCTTAAAAAATCACAGCTTTTGAAATCCTGAAGGCC